CCCCTTTCAAAAAGGTTCTATATAGAACCATCTACAGCAGATTCTCCATAAATCTGAAGAAGCCTTTCAAGATGCAAAGAACCATTTAATCATGCAAAGGGTTCTTTGAGATTTCTTGAATGAGAGTGTTTAAGAATAGATACAATTTTTAAAAATAACAAAAAGAAAGCTTTTTGTCAGTATTATTTCTTTTAACTTATTACCTTTAAATATTGTTTATTTTGTTTTATGTCTTATTTTTATATTAGTTTGTCAAATTCTAGTTGCTTTTATGTTCTTTTATCATTTTTTATTATATAATTTATCATCTTTTTTTGTCTTACAGTCTTCTGTGAGGCACTTTGAGCTGCTTTTATAAGTAGTAATAGTAGTAGGAAAAGAAAAGAAACTTCTAATTCAAAGACAAACAAGCAGGAATCCGATTCACTTGTTACTTCTGTTAAACCGAACACTTGCACATTGAAGCCAGTTGCTAACAGCAATGAAAAACATCAGCTGTCTATTCAAACCATCATAAATTAATGTATCCTGTAATCTTCTACTCCCAAAAAATGATTCTGAAACACCCAAAGCAGCACAAAACTCCCACAGACAGAGATAAGAACATGCTGGTACTGACTTTCTCTAACATAATCAACCCTGCATGTAATTAAGACCTCTGCTCTGAAGTACTTTATTAATGTTGAATTCACTGTTGTACATTGCATAAAACCACATTAAATGCAGGTGTGGCCACTGTACTGTTCTCTATTGACAGCCCTTCAGGACAAAATGAACTAATCTACAAGTCTCTATTCATCTGTAAAGAGGTCATCGGTCCTGCGCTTACAAAAGTACTGGATCATTGAATGTTTATGATGTTTGTTCTGTGGTTGAAAGAATGTGATCTCTGTAATTCCACTTTTCACGTCCCGCAGCCCTTTTCATATCAATGCCATGTTTTTCTGGAAGGCCCAATAGCAAGTACATTTGAAAGCCTTCTATTCCAAGACAATTTAATGTAGCAATGTAGGCCAACACATCACCGTGATCAGGCAGACGTTCTTAGAAATGTAACCTATTTCACACTGCAAATTGGCCGAGGCATGCATCTGCGCGCTGCGTGAATAAAATTACATCTTATTCACGTATTGTATTCACTACAAAAATGTACTACCAATGCAAATTCTCAACTTTGTAGGAATGCACATCTTTCGCTTACAAGATTGCTGTAATGAGTCATGTAAGAATGAATACCTGTAGCTTCCTTTTATAATATACATAAGAATAAATTTGATCTGTATTCAGTGCGTCCATGCTTTGCACTTTATTACAGCTTCCATCCTTTTGCTTTTATTACAGCTTCCACTTTTTTTTTTTCCCACAGTTCAGTCTTAGAAGTTTTGCATTTTCTGATTCTCACAATCCAAAGAATGGCAGACATATTCAGTGACCAGGGCCGTAACAAGGATGAAAAATTTAGTGAGGTCCATTTAGCAGAAATGTGACCTACATCTCATAGTGAATAAACAAACTGCTGAATGAGTATTACACCAAACGTAACGTAAACGTTTCTTTAGGGTTTTTTTTTTCCAAATCATTGCTCCTTTTTTTCCCCATCCATAACTGTAATGCATCTCTTCCTTTCATTTGTTCCTTCCCCATCCCTCCATTCTCCCATAAACTGCTATTACTGTTCCATAAACTGATTTGACTCGCGCTGCCCTGTTTAAGTCTATTTAATTATCATTTAACTATTTTTATGTTTATTTTCAGCTGAAAATACGTGTTAAAACCTACACTAAATCAAGTGATAGTTTCAAATAGATTTTTTTTTATTTACCTCTCTCTCTCTCTCTCTCTCTCTCTCTCTCTCTCTCTCTATCTATCTATCTTTGCTTCTCTTTTTGCATCTCTGTCCTCACTGATTACTGTAAAAGCACAGGTAACACTTTCTATGAATGTCACCTTTGTAAGCATCTATAAACACATTCATAACATGTTATAATGCATTCATAAGGCATTATAAACATGGCTATAACTATTTATGAAATGCATTACATGTTATAACCATGCTTATTATGCATTATGAATTGTTAACATAATACATTATAAGTACTGTTCATAACAAATTATAAGAGCTCATAAGTTGTATTAGTCTACTCTAAGTAAAGTGAAGCGTACTGTACTAAAGCCTCCTCCAGTGTTCAGAGTGAGGCTTCAAGTTGAAGTATTTACTGAAGGATTTACTGAAACACTAAAACATACACAGTAAAGCACATTACAGGCTTCAAATGTCAGAGTTTAAACTAGTGCTGCCATCAGTGTTTTACCCAATGTGGGAAAGGTAATGTACACCACCGTTAGCTTGGTATTTGTCTTTACTTTACGCTCTCCAAGCTGGGACTGACTTCTTTGGCACTGACAGTATAACATGTTATCAACACTACTTATAATGCATTATATTAACAATTCATAATGTATAATAAACATGGCTATAAAGTGTAATCCAGTGTAATTTATTTTTGTTTATAATCATGTTTATAATGCCATATGAAGGCATTATAACATGTTATAAATGTGTTTATAGATGCTTACAAACATGACATTCATAGAAAGTGTTACTAAAGCACACATTCAACATACGTTACAAAAGGCTGTCTGTACAAAACCCCAGCTAACAGGAAAGGCAGCTACTCATACAGTTAATGAGACAAAATACAATCTAACATAGCTGCTGATTTCTTAAAAATGTTAGCTACATGATGCTATACCATCAATATGCTGGTTAACAGTGAACTTTCTCATGCCAGTCGTAGTGTGTTATGACCAGGTTGTGACCAAAAACAATGTCTTATCTAATCGCCAATATAGCTGACTGTGGAGCCTGTAGCCTAAACTGAGCAGCGACTGGAGCCAGACTAAACCACGCTGATTTAACCAGCAACATTAAGAGCAGCTCAAACAAAAACTGAAATACAGGGTTTGCTTTTACAATCTTAATGTGTTAATTGTGCTCATAAACTTTAAGCTAGATACAATTTCACCATTGTGATGTTATATATTAGCCTATAGCGTGTGTGCTGCATACCTGAACATCTCAAGAAGACAAAGTTACTCTGGTTTTCTGGAGTGGGTAGCGGCTCGAACAGAATGGGCAGTTAAGTCTACGGCCAAGCCACAGCTGTTCTGAGGTCAGCTGAGAACCAGTCATTGCTCATTCAGTATTTATGTCGCTTCTTTCCACACTGAATCTCTTAAAACCTTTCAGAATCCTTCTGAAACTACTAAGGTCCGGACCTCAGTGTCCTCATAGCTAGTTATGGACATATCGATGACGTTGAGGTCTGGACTCTGGAGTGGTCAGTCCAATTGTTCTGAGAACAACAGCAGCTTCTTTGTTGGATATATACATCTTGATCTTCTCAGCAGTGTTGTTGGATTGTTATCTTGCTGTAGAATTAATTTATTCCTAATCAAACATTTTTCAGAGGGTTTTGTATGATGTATGACAATTTTGTTTATTTGCGCTGCCTTCAAAAACAAATCATCAACTCAAGATGATGTTATTTATCTCCAAACTTGCACTAGTTTAAAGAGTCTTTCATTTCTTTGGCACTGTACGCACTGCCCTCTGTTACTTCCAAAGATCATGATTTTAGACTTATCGGTCCATAAAACCTTTTCCAGCATCTCAGATGTCCAGTTTCAGTGTTGAAGTACAGGCATTCTTTTTGTGTTTAATTTTTTCAGTATTGACTTCTTGACAGCTACAAAACCGTGATGAATGACTCTCCAGTGTGTCTCATTCAGGCTGGTCAATATAAACATGTCCACTATATGCCAATACATAATAGGATAGAGTATCATTTCCCTTCTAAACAGATCTGAGTTCAACCCCCACCCCCAGCCCAGGTTCTTAATGATTTCAGCGCCAAACAGATTTGCAGAGAAGTAAATACAGTAGAGTTTCATCTATAAATGTTTTACATTTTAAAATGTTATTTTGTGGAAGGTCTTGTGGTTTGTTTTTAACTTAAGCTTATTCAAAGAATAGGAGTCAAATCAAGCAACAGAAGCAGCACTTTATTGATGCCTAAAAAGAAACACACACAAAGCCACAAATAAAATATGTATTTTACAATATTTACAATATAAATAATGAGCACAGAAGCACTCTTAGGAAACACAGGACAGGCATCACTAGCTGGACATTCTATAAGTGGACATTCAGCTCTTTTCACATTAGTGTCAGTCTACAAGAGGACATTCAGCTTTGTTTACTTTAATGACCTTCTATAAGTGGACATGCAGCTCTGTTCACATCAGTGTCATTCTATAAGTGGACATTCAGCTCTGTTTACATTATTGACCTTCTGTAAATGGACATTCAGCTCAATCATATTAATGAGCTTCTATAAGTGGACATTCAGCTCTTTTTATATTAATGTCATTCCGTATGTGGACTTTCAGCTTAAATCATATTAATGACCTTCTGTAAGTGGACATTCAGCTCTGTTCAAATTAATGATTTCTATACGTGGACATTCAGCTCAGATCATATTAATGACCTTCTATAAGTGGACATTCAGCTCAGATCATTAATAACCATCTATAAGTAGATATTCAGCTCTGTTTGCATTAATGACCTTCTATAAGTGGACATTCAAGTCGGTTCGCTCAGATTAGCATTTACTTTAGATGAAAGCAAAAAAGTACTACTTGTTCTACTTGTGTACTGAATGTATATTCATACTCAGCAAAGTCCTGCTGGACACAAATGAACACTGTAAGAGTGAATCAACACTGTAGGAGTGGCTACATAAAGCGAATAGTACATTAACAATTAATGCCATTCATCTATTACAGCACTGCACATTGGTCAGTACAAAGTAACACCTGTTAAACCACTGGAACTTAAAGATACTAATGTAAACAGCAACTCTAGCAATTATAGTTAACATTTTACATGACACATTTAGACAATGATGTGACTCCAAGTTGTCAGAATGAAGCCCAAACTCAGTGTAATGACTGTTTACACTACGGGTCGTCTTTCCCTTTGACTAGCAGGAGTAAATCAGGTGACAGTCCAGGGCTGCTACACCCTAATTTATTAATTTTACATACAGTCAGAGAGGCTCTTGAAGCTCAGGTAAACAGAGCTGAGAATAGTGGCCTCTTCAGGCACAGAGTACTTCCTCTCTTTGTGTCTGAGACAGAGACACTGTTTGGGGAGCTCTCTGCTGAACAGCAGGTAGATGCAGGGGTTGGCACAGCTGTTCAGACTCGCCAGCAGCATCAGGATGGTGAACGTAGCAGCTGCAATTCAAAACACAGTGACATCAGTGGTCATTTCAGACTTCTCTCTGCCTTTATTCATCCCCTGGAAGTGCATGAGGATGACCTGCTATTGGCTAATATTCACTTCATTATTATTTAGCATTTTATTTTAGAAAATACACTCTTTTCATGCAAAATGGTCATGATAAACAACAGAAAAAAACAAAAATCAAAATTGACATTAAATACAGCTGCTTGCAAAAGTGTTGGGTGCCCCTGGTCGAATGACGTTTTGTTGATTTTCTAAGTGAAAATAAGTTAACACATCCTCGACAGCAGGCATGTCAAACTGGGGACCTTCCAGGCCAAAGTGCTGCAGAGATTAGCATTACTCTCATCTAACACTCTGAATTCAGCTCATGAAGGCCTTGCTAATTAGCTGATGAGGTAGTGAGCTGAAATCTGCAGTGTTTTGGTCCACAAGGACTGGAGCTTAACACATGTCCTCTACAGAGAACACACATCTGCACATTTTAAAACACAATTACTGTTTGTTCACTAAATTTGCAAACAGAAATGTACTATTTACATATAAAATGTGGCTTTTGCAAAAGTTTTATACTGTATATTTTATTATATTATATTTATTTCCGGTATGTTAAACTCAGCAAATGAATAGAAATTATGTATTTAAATTAGCAAAGAATTGCCATATTTAAGTGTGTTCCCTTTAGAGGATGTACTCACTTATTCTCAAGTAACGAATTAACAAAATGTAATTTAGACAAATCATTTAGACTTCATGCAGTTATGTTTTTGCCCTTTTGGTCAAGTCAAATCACAATCGTTAGGGTAGTTTAGGGAACAAAATAATCTGTCTTCATTCTTTCCTTTTTGCAAAGAAGTTAAAATATTACACATACTTTTTTTAATGAAAACTAATTATTATTATTTTTTTATAGTAAGCTATTCTTTGTGATGGACAGAAGCCAAAGGGCACGTTGCGCTTGTAAATTGAATGTGGCTTGAAAAAAGTCAAGATATTTGACAGCAAAATCTTTACTGTGCACTAATCAATCTGTCTGGCTGCAAACAAAGACAAAATCCATTAGCATGAGTTCAGACAACAGTAATCTGTTTTACTGCTAACTTAATATTCGAATTAACACAGCAAACTGGGGTCCCTATGACTGACTTCTGACTGTGTTAGTTCAGCACAGATGCAGTGATACTCAGTCTAATCCACAATGTTTTCATTCCAGCCAAGCAGGAGCACAGCTGACTACTGATGTGAAGACTGAGAGCACTTAAACGAATAAAGATCAGCACAGAGATTTTAATCTGAATGAACTCAAACAATCAAAGGAAGCAGATTACCTTTTAGAGTAAAGGCAAATCACTTCATGCAGTAAGTACACTATTTGTTATTATAATTCATTGTTGGTTATTTAAACAATCATTACATTTATTTACACTTACACATTTAATATTGCGCCTTTTGGTATACAAGTGCTGTCACTGAGGTTGGACCCTCGAGAGTACATCTTCAGTAGGTTTGCTTTGCGAAAATAATTCCAAGCTCTTCATTTTACACTCTATGTTAAAAAAGTTATGAAAGGGTACAAATGTTGGCCTCTCCTCTGGGAAAGTGAATGCAACGTACTTGTAAGATTCATTTAATGTACACAGTTGGACCTTAAGGACACTGGCATGTCTTGACATGTACATGGTTTGTACCTTGCTAGACCGAAATGTAGCTGGATAACATCCTTTTCTCTGAGAGTGTAATATAAATACATTTTGTTAAAATACGCAGTCGTATATTAAAGTTTGGGCGTCAAATTACATAGATTTTTTTGAGTGAAAATAAGTGAACAACCCTCTACAGAGAGCAAATTTAAATATCCTCTGCTCATTTTAATGCAACGTTTATAATTATTTTCCACATTTAACATATTGGAAAAAATAACACATAAAAGGTATATTTTTGTGTTTTTTCTTTCCCTCCAGTATGTTAAATTCTAAACTATACAGTAATTGTGCATTAAAATGTACATTAAAGGTGTGCTGTCTGTAGAGGGTGTTCATTTATTTTCACATAGAAACTCAACAAAAGTTTTAGACTGTAAATATTTCATAGCAAGGCCAATGCAGGTGGATTGATGTTTAAATATTGACATCAGTATCAGAATCAGCCCACGATTCTCATATCACTGTATCCCTCTGTGGATGCAGAGGTGTGGCTACAACTTTTAGAATGGGGTGGCCAGGTAAAACCCAGAGATTTTACTGGGGTAGCAGAAAAACAAAAGTAAATAAAATAGCTTTACACTGTTAGAAATAAAGGTTCTAGGTACATTTATTTTGTTCATCAAGGTACAAACAATGTAAACGTTACCTCAAAGGTACAACAGTGGTTTTAAGTTCCAATTCTGCCCCTTAAGTAAGTTTTTCCAGGTGAAAAGTTTGTATTTGTACCTTTTCATAACCGAATGTTTTAAAACAGAACAATAAATCCTAGAGACGAGACGGAGTGGAGTCAGTACAGCTTAGAAAATATCATTTCAGTGGATTATGGTGCAGTTATGTTCCCTGACTAAAGGTATTGAGATGTACCCTTGAGGGTCCCACCCCAGTGACAAGAGGGGTCCTGCCCCAGTGACAGTTAGGCACCTTTCTGAGAGGGTACTGCATTAAAATGATGATAAAAGTGAGGAAAAGCTCACATAAAAAGTAATACATTGTATTTTCTCTGCACATAATTAAATGTGTTCATCATTTCCACATGAATAAAAGATTACACCAATACATTTATTGCCAAAAGTGAACTGAAAGACAAAACTCTTGATGTAAGATATGAAACGTTAATGTGTTTTAATCATTCATGAGGAAATGATGGGTTTGAATCAGGTAAATTAAATTAAATCACTTTTTTTCAGTGCACAACATTAACTTTAGAAAAACATTTCATATAGACAGACTGGAAGGCTGCCCTCGTTACAGGTCATACAGCGTCTAATGATTAGAAAGCTCGCCACACAGCACTGTATAAGATAACCTACAACAACACATTCAGGTTTTTAGCTGTAAGGAATTTGTGGGCATGATAAATGATTATAACTGGCTACTTTTATCTGACCATTGAATAACCTGCTTCAAAATGAGCTCACTGAGCAGCACTGCTGAGGGGACCCAGCGCACATTCACTCACAAGTTTGCCCAGAGAATTACCCTACAGTCTCAAAATGATGGTTCTTTGATAAAGACAATGGTTCTATATAGAACCGTGGTTTTTTGCTTCTTCAGACTGATGAAGAATGTGTTGTATATGGTTCTATATATCACCTGAAAGGGTTCTGCCATTGGTACAATGTCAAGCTTGTAGCAAAAAAGAACTTTTTGGTGCTATATAGAACCATTTTAAAAGGGTTCTATATAGAACCACATACAACACTCAAAGAAACCTTTGCTTAAATTGTTCTTCAGACTGATGGAGAATGTGTTACACATGGTTCTTTATAGCACCAGAAAGGTTCTGCTGTTGTAATGACGTCAAGCTTATAGCAAAAAAGAACCCTTTTTGGTGCTATATGGAACCATATACAACATTCAAAGAAACCTTTCCATGCATAAATGGTTCTTTGTTTCTTCAGACTGATGAAAAATGTGTTGTATATGGTTCTATATAGCACCAGAAAGGGTTCTGCTATTGTAATGATGTCAAGCTTTTTCAAAAGGGTTCTATATAGAACCATATACAATACTCTAAGGAAACCTTAGCATGCTTAAATGGTTCTTTGTATGGTGAAATGGTTCTTCAGACTGATGAAGAATGTGTTGTATATGGTTCTATATAGCACCAGAAAGGGTTCTGCTATTGTTATGATGTCAAGCTGGTAGCAAAAAAAAGGACCTTTTTGGTGCTATATAGAACCATTTTCAAAACGGTTCTATATAGAACCATAAACAACACTCAAAGAAACCTTTGCATGCTTAAATGGTTCTTTGTATGGTTAAATGGTTCTTCAGATTGACGGAGAATGTGTTTTATATGGTTCTGCTATTGTTATGATGACAAGCATGTAAAAAACGAGCCCTTTTCAAAAAGGTTCTTTATAGAACCATATACAACACATTCTCCATCCATCTGAAGAACCATTTCACCATACAAAAAAAGGTTTAAGCATATTTTTCTTTAAATGTTATTGGCTCTATATAGAACCACTGTCTTTACTAAAGAACCTTTAAAGAACCTTTTTTAAGAGTGCTTGACGCTGTTAAATGCAGCCTTATTAATGCAGCCTTATTAAGCTTTTATAACTGACTGATGAACACCCTTGTGGCAGAGTTTCACCATAAGGCGTAACTGATTCTTTACTGATGGCTGACCGTCATAAGTAAATGCTTTCCATAACTGGGGTGACCAGAAATGTGGCCATGCTCATCCCTGACCACCCCCTGTCGACTGACTTTCAATTCCTGCTGCAGCGATCCTGTTACGTTTCCATCCACTTACACTCAGTTGGCGCCTCGCTGTCCCACACTGACCACAGCTGCACGGTGAAGAAGGGCGCCCAGCAGAGCACGTAGGCGAGCACGATGACCACGCTCATCCTCACGGTCTTGACGCGCGCCTTGGAGATGCCGGAGGCGCGCGGCTGGGCCTCGTGGCACCGCGCCTCGCCGCTGGCCCTCACGGCGCGGCAGATGCGCACCTGGCACGCGAGCACGGCGCCCACGGGCACCACGAAGACTGCGAGCGCCGTCCACGTGACGTAGGCGCGCAGCCCCCACGGCTCCGCGAACTCGGCCCAGCAGTCGAAGACGCCCGGCGCCACCTGCACGCGCGAGAAGATGAAGACCTGCGGCAGGCCACCGGCCAGCGCCACGCACCACGCCGCGCACACGGGCGCCGAGCAGCGCGCGCGCCCGCCGCGCCGCAGCTTCGCCATGGGGTCGCACACGGCGCGGTAGCGATCCACCGTCATGGCCACAATCATGTAGGCGGACGCGAACATGCCCACCACCTGCAGGTACTTCACGAGGCGGCACACGGGGTCCGGCCCCACGAAGCGGTCCGTGATGTCCCACACGAGCTGCGGGCACACCTGGAAGAAGGCCACGGTCAGGTCGGCCACGCACAGGTGCAGCACGAACACGCGCATGCGGGTCAGACGCTCGCGCCTCCGCAGCAGCAGCAGCAGGAGAGCGGAGTTGAGCAGCGCGGCGGTGACGAAGATGAGCCCCAGCAGCGCGATCTCGACGCGCGCGAGCTGCTCGTCCCTCGGGTCGTCGGCCGCGCGCAGCTCCGGGCTGCTGAGGTTGCTGAGGTTCAGAGCGAGGAGCGACATTCTGGTCAGGGAGCAGGGCGCGCGGGACTGTAGACGCTTCGGGTCATTCTTCAGTCTTCACGCGCTAACAGAGGTCTGACCGCTGACACAGTGCTGAGCTGCCTTTGAACCATCACCGGAAAGCTGGCGAAGTTGGTGCGTTTGGCTCGTTTATAGGCTCCTGCGCGCGGTAGGAGGGACCACTCCCCTCCCTGCACCACTGCTTGTGAGAATGAACTTCCAGCCAATCGCATCGCGGGAGGGCGGGGCTTGTAGAACAACGGGTGGGAAGCAAAATAACGGTGACCGTCCCTCATCACCCCAAGTGCGCATCTTCAGCACTGAACACAATCAGAATCACTGTTTGTTACACACACAAGGAATCAGTCCTGGTGAGTCACACATGAAGGACTGAACACTGACCAAACCAGACAAGCACACAGACTGTTTACAAGAATTTCTCTGAAGGACAAATTAAAATAAAAATACAGTTAATAGAACACAGAATAATACAGAGCCGACGTGAAAGGAGCTGGAAATGTGAAAAGAGATGTGTGCATATCTACATATGCAGGTCTGAGGAGACATACACTATAATAACTATTATAGAACGGATAGTTCCGGCCCTAAAATCTGATTGGCTGAGCCGCGTTCAAAGCTGTCGTAAAATCCACAATATACCCTACACCTATGACCACCTCACAGCAACTGAACGGTGTATCACTGCGCCACAGCGCGAAAAAGCCTTGTGCTGTTAATGGAATAATCTTTGACTCTAATGCTGCTGGCATGGACCACCAAGTGTATTGATCAAGTAAGAACCCATTTCAGTTTAAACTGAGGGGCTGACAACTTATGTTCTTAACTAGAACTAGGCTGGTCAGCTGGCTAACAGGCTAAAAGAGCCAACAGGCTTGATTTAAAGCACTTACGGTATGATTAACTGTAAAACTGCAGTATAAAAGTCTAAAAAATGTTACTTGAATGGATTACATGCTTCAAACGTTCATGTTTCAGCCAGTAGCATCAAACCCAGGCTGAATCTCAAACGGCTCCGTACTTCCTAAATAGTGTGCTAACTATGAAAGTTTAGAAATTCTAGCCTCTACAGCCAAATAGTGCATCATTTATCGAGTGTGGATGTGTCTGAGTGCCAAATGACTATTTTTAGCTATATTATGCACAGTTGGGCTGCAGGATCCAGTATTTAAATTCCTATGTAGTGCACTATGTAGGGAGCAGGGAGCCATTTGAGATTCAGCCAGTTTTATCACCATTATTACCATCATCAACATCTCATATAAAAACTCAAAAACGCTTATTTTCATTGTGGACATAGTGACCCCTGGTTCCTATCACCACCACTGTAAAGAAATCAGAGTTGGTAAGTTTCTCCACAATTGATTGATTCAAGACAAAATGCTCCCAATGTGTTTAACATATCAGCACTTCAATTATGCAGAAAGTCTGAAAAATCATTGGAATTCCCCTTTAATGGGGTCACTAGATGTGAAGCACCTTAATAACCTGACTTGCCTCCATACGTAGCTGCCTATGCATGCATGCAAATAAGGCAGAAGGGGGCACATTTCCAAAAATGAATACTAATAACTAATACAGCCTTCCAATAAAATGCTGTTAGTAGATTTGTGAAGCTTTTTAAATAATAATAATAATAATAATAATAGTTTTATGTATATAGCACCTTTCCAAAGGTCAAGGTCGCTTTACAGAGCTTCCAAAACAGGCCAGCAAAATAGCCACACAATTTTTTTAAAATATTTAAAATCCTTTTAAATAGGCTTTTTCCCCTCACTTCACCTTAGATGCACTGAGTTGAAGCACTATCAAGTAAAAAAAGGTGATGATCCATCCTTTGATTAATTAGTTTTGAAAACTAACCTAGTACAAAATTGACCTTTACCTTGTAAGTACCTGGTCATTTTCAGCACAATTCCTCAGATCATTCAAAAGGCAATTACTATTTTTCTGTAATCAGTAAAGTGTACATTAAAATGTAATGACTTTTACCAGCCTCTGAGTTTTGATTACATCATCATGCACCAGTGGGCGGGGCAAAATAATTAACCAATAATATCATGTTCATCCACCTCCATCTGTCATAGAGAGAAAATGCTCAGCTAGCTCAGCGACCCTCATTGACAGCGCTCCACTCTCAAATACATCACAGTACAGAAGGAGGTGTGTTTATATTGTCCACAGAAAGTGTGTCTGATGTATCAGCTCTGGATTGTTGGTTGAAATGACTTTGGAGATAAATGTTCTGCCCACTGTGTGTAAAAGCACTTAAAAATACAGTCTTAACCCTTGTGTGGTGTTCATGTGTTTGTTACTCAGTGGTCTGATGAACCCACAATACTGTTTTTTTAAATCATAACCATAACAATTTATGTAAAAATACCAGATGTTTAAAATATCACAAGTGTCCAGCGTAGGGTTCTCCTTTAGCAGCTGTAGCCAGTCAGCAGCCTGTCCATGTTGTCCACCCTCACACACACACACACACACACACTAATAGCAGGCCATGTAGGAAGAGAACAGAGTGAAGGACACAGCACCTCCACACTTTTATTTCCCATGGGAAATAAAATTATTTCCCATCACACTTTTACACCACATGTGTAATATAAATGTGTGGGGGGTGAACAGAGTGAAGACACTGAAAATTGGTTATTTTATATGTTCTTCACAGAAAATGAGCAAGTACCTGGTCATTTTCAGCACAATTCCTCAGATCATTTAAAAGACAATTACTATTTTTCTGTAATCAGTAAAATATACATTAAAATGTAATGACTTTTACCAGCCTCTGAGTTTTGATTACATCATCATGCACCAGCAGGCGGGGCAAAATAATGAACCAATAATACGGCCAAGAATCTTAAGTTGAAATAATAATCAATCACATCATTTTTTCTTTTGGTATACATTGAAAATGGGTCCCACAGACCTGAACACCACACAAGCGTTAAGGGTTAAATTAAACATCCTCAGGGCCCCACTTAGACCTGCTCACAGCTAAGGGAACAAGGGACGCAGTTTTAGTGGTGGAATCGATATCAGGAAACACTGAGCCTCACAAGTAGCAGATCTCTCATTAACAGCTCCCCTGCCAGTATATCAGTGCTACTAATCTCCTCATGTTCCATAAAATCATATTTGTATGATCTGCACTTAAAATCATGTCTATTTTGAACACTGAGAAAAGAATTCACATCAGCCACAGCACACTGGATAAAAATGATACAATAGGATAACATGGATAAAAGTTGCTGTGCACCAGGTCAGCTGAGGAAACAGTTGTGGTTGAGGACAGAAAAATGTCCAGAGCTGTGAAGAAAACTCTTTATTATCAATGAGATCAAAAACAGCCAACAAAGAACAGAAACTACTGTTCACAGATGACTTTAACAGCATTAAAGCCTGTCAGATTACAGTGAACTAAAGATCACAGAGAACCCTGTTAGGCTCTCAAACTATATTTTACAGACAGATGAGTCAGAGATAAACACCCACCATGATAAAAAAATTAAAGTGTGGATAAAAGAAAATTGTTTTCTTTATGCCTTGAGCGAGGCAGTGTCTGTTACTGGCCGTTCAGTTTGCTTGCTGACTAGAACATTGCTGTCCAAAGTGTGGCCTGTGAGGACATCTGCCAGAAAGTTATTCATATACTACAGGTGATTAAAAAGATTCATATGATTTCAAAATGATGTATTTCACATGTAAATCATTACAATGCAGTAAACTGTAAATGGTTTACAGTGAGCATAAAGTTTATTATGTAATTTTACAAGTGCTCAATATGAACCTCCTCCAGCTGTAAAGACAACATCAACGCCATAGTCAAATTCATCCCATACTGGATTGAGCATGTCGGGTGTCGCTGCACTCACGGCTCTTTCAGTGCGATTTCGGAGATCATCCAGTGTTGTGGAACCAACAACGAACGCTCTGAGCTGTTGGAGGTTCACTGACCACGAAAATTACACTGCACAGTTATAACAGATTCACTCTTATTGAAGTGGAGAACGCAAAACACTTTCTGCTCAGGGGTCTCATCTCCTCGCAGACTGAAGGGAGCCAACTTCCAGTGACAGTCCAAAACTCTATGTCCCCCCTCTTCCAATTGGTATGTGATTGGTTCCTAGGCGCCTCACGGTTGTAAAATATGGCGCTTTGAAATCGGATTAATCTTTTTGAATCACCCTGTATATCACTGCTGTTGGAACAAAACCTTGTATCTCCAAAATAGTAACTTTACAGGAGAAGGAAAAACTTTTAATACTTTTAATGTATATCAATGGAACCAGACTTTTTTCTAAGTCATTTTGGGCCGTTTCTTTTGGTCCATTCACCATGAAATTTACACACAATATAAAGGGCAACAGGCATTTTCAAATTATATCAAAAACTGAAAAACAACAAAAATGGAGATACAAGGTTTTGTTCTGACAGCAGGGATTATATAACTTTACAATTCTATAATAATATAATTATAAAAGGAGTTATAGTGACAAAAATATAGGATAATGTTATAAAACATAGTTGAAGCCTTCTTTCTTTATATTCACACTGTTTTGTCTTTTTTGGTCCTCTGTCCACCACAAACGTTGCACTTTGGTCCTCAAGACAAAAAGACTGTGCACCCCTAGACTAGAAAATACCCCCAGGATCTTTTAATGCTACTTTCACAATACAGCAAGATGAAGACACAACACTGCAAGCAAACATAGAGATCAATAAAGGGAAAAATGGAAGTGTCAATCCAAACACAGCATTAAATTAGCTGGAAAAATGACTAAACTCTGAAAACCCTTAAATAAAATAATGGTGTATAGTGTGTGTTGCGCTGGTCTGAGTGGATCAGACACAGCAGTGCTGCTGGAGTTTTTAAACACCTCAGTGTCACTGCTGGACTGAGAATAGACCGCCAACCAAAAATACCCAGACAACAACGTCCTGTGGGCAGCATCCGGTGACCACTGATGAAGGACTAGAGAATGACCAACACAAACTGTGAGGCTACAGATCAGCTCTACATCCACAAGGTAGGAGTGTCTAATAGAGTGGAAGGTGACTGGACACAGTGTTTAAAACCTCCAGCAGCACTGCTGTGTCTTATCCACTCATACCAGCGCAACACACACTAACACGCCACAGCAGTGCTGAGAATGATTCACCACCCAATGTCTGCTCTATGGTGGTCCTGTGGGGGTTCTCACCATTAATGAATGAATGGCATTAAGTGGGGGACAACAAATTATGCAGATAAACAGATGGACTACAGTCTGTAAATGTAGAATTACAACGAGATAAGAAGAGCTGATAATGGACAGTGAGTGTACCAAGTGTACCAACGAAGCAGCCAGTGATTATTATTATTAAGTTCATCTGTCCCAATACTTAAGCACATCTAACAGGGAAAATGAAGGCACCAAACCTAGGTTGCAAGTTGGGGCTGTGCCTTCAACATTTGGTGGTAGCATGAGGGGAGGCTGAGGGAGGGGAGAGAACTCTGAGAACTTGGGCTGGAGTTCTGCTGTTTCTGCGTGGAGGTAGAAGGCCAGACCCCCATAACTATGGTAGGACTGACACAGGATTAACAATTATTGTGAAAAACTTCATCACAGTAACAAAAGGTAGAGATGGGAGTTTATATGGCATTAGTTTGGAAGGGGGAGTCGCTTCAGGCATGGTCCTCCCCTCAAACTTCAGCTATTCCATAACTCCATAACTATTCCATAACTAAACGCAAATGCCCACAAATACCTGCCTCTGACAAAATAAAACATATTGCACATTTTATAAATGTATAATTGGTTTAAAATTAATTTATTAAATGGTTACAAATTAGATTAACCATAAACACCTTAAAAGCCATTAATTAGCAGTTATAACACAAATAATAAGGGCAACAGTGGCCAGTTGGTTACTTATCTAACCGTCTTCTGCATCAGTCAGCATCAAACCTTTCAGCTTCAGATATTCATATTCATCAGGCAGAACAGCTCACTCCTGCCTTAACTAGTTATAACTGCTTATTAATGATTAAAGTGTTTAAGATTAAAGTATTTATGACCTAATCACGTACCTTTTCTTTCAGTCTGATTTCCGTTTTCAGTCGTCTTTCTACTGTTATTTTATGTTTTAAATTGTCTTACTATGTTATTTCCCATTTTTCATGTGTTTTGTTTTCTCTCAATTTGTTTTTATTATTGCTTTTATTTTGTACCCATGTTTTGTTGATTGTTACTGCACTATTTTGTAATGTATAGTGTGTCCACTGGACCCAAGGAAGAATAGCGGCTATCATGATAGCAGCTAATGGGGGTCCTATAAATAAACAAATAAACAAATCATACCACCATTACTAAACTACTTTTAAACCATTCCTAAAAAATTATAGTCTTATTGTTAAGTGGTACCATACAGCTGCTTCTGACTTTTGGAGGGCCCTCTAGATCACAAACACAAAATATGACACAAACAGACTTTGGCATTTTAGTTTACTTTGTTGCTTCAAAATATGATATTAAGAGTTACATAACCACCTGGAAACATCCTGGATTTCTCTACCCCCTCCTTCCATAAAGAACCAATGTCTGACGTTGCATTAGACAAAGAGGCAGCTAAAGTGCTCCTCCTTACACAAAATTACACCATCTCTCCAACGGATAAATACACCTTTATATTAACAGAGGGCAAAAATGTCACAATAAATTAAGAAAGCAGAACAGACTTTGCTGAAATCAGATGAGTCACTGTGAAATTGAAGTCCAAAATAACATGAATAACAAATGAACATCAAATGCCAAACTTAAATCACTGATAATAGAGGAGAAAAAAGGGAAAACGAGGCTGAGATTGCTGCGGTACGAACAGGGCAGCATGCAGAGTTTCTGTCCATCATCTCCATGACTCACACACCTGGCGTATTGCTTATTACTCTTGCTTATTTCTCCACCGTTTTCTATTTCTGGCCAGATCCTTGGAGCCCAGCTGTTCTGAGGTGCAGTCAGTACTCCCACAAAGATGCTGGGAAGCACAACCAGAAGTTTATTACCAACTTTCTTCACGCTCATGCAGCTGGGACAGCCAGGAGCTTAGCGACAGTCTATACAGAAAAAGACTTGAGAGAACCAATATACAGCCAATCTTCTTCCGCATTTATCATCTCTGTGTTAGCTGTACATTTTATGGAGATAAGAGCGTACTGCACCTTCTGAATTACTAAGGCATGACAGCATATCTGAGTCTGGGAAAACCAGTCCTGTCACTGGTTTTGTTCATTTTAAATCAGGACCTGCTGATGGTGCTCAGGAGTTCTTCCTTGCCCAGCTGGTAACGACTCTTCTTCCAAATGTCACGGAGCTCCTGCAGGGTTGTGCCAATCTCCTTGCCCGAGGTGATGCCCAGACGACGGAGGTCGTGCCCACTGACAGGGAATCGGGGGATGGACCAACGTTTTAACTCAGCCAAGAGCTTCACTTCACCCTGGTACTTCAGCAGCTCCAGCGCTTTGCTCTGGGCGTCCGGCTCTCGACTCTACAAAACACAAACACCAGCGTCCTCAGTTAGTGCAGGTAATTCAGACAACCACTCCTTGCACTCCTTGTTGTTACACATGAAGAAATCCTCATTTTATTTTAAAGCTGCACTATAAGACTTTTTTTTGTTAGAAGAAGTAGCATCACAGTGAGGAGACACCTGAAAATATGGTGTGCGTGTGCTCCTGAAAAACCTGAAATAATGATTTTAAAGTCGCCTCCTGAAAGTTTTTTAGACCAGGGTTTTCTCATCAAATTTATCAGCAAAGTCGGCTTTCCTCTTCTTCTAGCAGCATGTCAGCGCTGTGCTGTCAGCATGATCTGCCGGTTTTACCGTCTGACTTTTTACAGACTCTTATTGCTCTCATATCCTTCCTGCAGCTCGAGCTGCTGTTAAAACAACAGACAAGCCTCAAAATAATAGCGAAGATCTGCGTTTGATTTTTGAACGAGCATCAGCAACCTGAGTTAAACTCAATCTGATAAAACCACTGACAAAGAAGCAGAGATCATGTAAGGATCATTATTATTATTGTTGATTGTGATGATGCCAATCCAAAAGCGGAAGTGTTTGCAGTGAAAACGCGATGGACTGCAGCTCCAAATCACACATCTACATCTACACTTCCCTTTTTTCCTTTTTCTTCTTTTTTGACATCTCTGCAAATATATGTTTTTTTAACATAACTATAAATTTTGTTTTCTGTGATTGAAGTAAAATCGACGTTCTGATCTTTTCAGGTGCTAATTGACAGGTTTTCAGCGTGAACAATTAAGAAAAAAAAAGCTATTAGTTGATTTTAGTTATTTTTTTTATGGGCCGCTATGCTTTACAAACAGGTTTGTTTTTGACCACATCATACATCTTAACGCCACACTTGCAGACTCAAAGAGATGATCTGGTTCGATGCTCAAATGCAAAATCAACATTACAATGATGAAGATAGGATGACAGGTAATTCACTCATCCTCAGAAAACACGTCCTTCACCAAGTTTTGACTGAGTTCTCTTTAAATTCCCTTTCAAAGCGCTCACAATCATCAGATTCATCTGCTTGGGGAACGGGTCCAAAGCACAACCCACATTACAAAATGCTCTTCTGTACACTGCACATTTCTACAATAGTGGTCTCCAAATTCCCAGAACTTACACAGTGTCGCTTTAACATCATCACAAAATGTCTGACACTCAAAGCATATTGTATTAATTGACTTGGGACTCTGCTTACAAAAATATTATTTACTTATTTCGGTTTACTTTACTGCAATTGTTTTGAGCGAAGTTGCCACCCAAAGCTGTCCTCTTTGCTACATTAACACCCTTTTGTGCTCTCCAAAGTGACGTGTGGTGCGATGATCGCTATCTGTGATGTAATGTGTAGACCATCGTTTAGCTCTCATGGCAGTTAAAACAATGGCTCACAGAAATTAGGGTGTTCTACAATTCTCATTTTCAGACGTAAAATGAAAATTGGTTGACTTGCTTACAATGATACTTTACACTTAATAGAAAGCTACTGAATTATATACAGAAAGAAATCAGAAATCTGAATATGTGAAAATGAGAACTTTTTCACCACTAACTAATCGTTGCTTTTTTCACGTGCCAGTAACATTGTCCTAGTTTTAATTTGGCCACTAAAAATGAAATATATCAGTGGGTTAGCGGAATAATGATCATGAACTGCTGATGTGTTGGGGGAAAAAGGAGGGATTTTTCTTCAGAATTCTCTGCTGGCAGCAGACGCCCCCCTCCTTCCCAAAATGAAAAACCCACCAAATCTACACAGTTCATATGAATGTCATTTAAGATGGCAAATTTCACCAAAAGGCAACAAGATGACATATAACTGTACGGTGTGACTCCTTTTGTTTTATGTCATATGCATAAGCTTTAGTTAATAATATTCTACTTCTGAAACCACACTGTACATTCTGACTGTCACTGTTTTGTCCTCGATCAAAAATACCCCGAAGGAAGCTAAAACAATGGGCGGACTCACGTCTATAATGAAGTCTGTGAATGGCTTGAGGCCATCATGCTCATCTTGCCCCTTAACGAGGTCTCGCCTGTGTCTGACAAGAAAAAGGCCCAAGGTCTTCTCCTCTCTGGAGATCTTTAGCCGCAGATCCAACCTTTCGACATCGTCTGGGCTGCGGAACAGAGCTGCGAGCACAGTCATGGGCTTAGGAGAGGTGCCGTATGCCTTCTGACAGACCTGCTTCATCTCCTCAACATTGCCCTCTGCTGGGAGACCTGGAGGACACAAAATACAGGATACCAATAGATTTAGACCAATTATAGAGGGCCTGTAAACAACGATAACAACCAGTGCATTATAACTGCATAAACTACATTAGTAACAAGTAGCTGATTAGAGGTCAGTCAGATTTGCCATTATTAGTGACTCTTAGATTTTATTTTCCTCCTGTTTCTTTTAAATGATGAAGTCTATGAATGGCTTTAAGGGCCGATGTGTGAACAATTAATTAAAAATATTATTCTAGTTGTACTTGTAGTTTTTCATAACCTTCAATAAATGTATTAGAGGAGTGATACGACAGTATATTTATAAATATCACAATAAATTAGGTCACAATATAATCAATATTAAATCATATTTAATGTATTCAGAGCAGAACAGTACACGATATATTGAACACAAATCATCTAGTGCAACTGATCTGCTCAAACCTGTTCGCAAACCACAGTAAACGAATATCATGGTATATACTGCATCTTGAAAACTGTGAAAGTGTTATTATACTTCTGTGATATCGCCCACTCTTAGCTGCTGCTCTCACAGTACAGGCACGGCATCGTGGGGCTTTGTGAAGAGTGCTAATTGCCTAATCACTACCTGTCAGGACATCTAACAGACACCCACAATTGGCAGGCAAGGCACTGAATGGACAGGGAAACAAAAAGCAAGTCATCCACCCACACAATGAGAAGACAGCCACTTGTGCATCTCTTGGATTCCCAAGTTTAAACTGCAGTGACATTGGTGGAAATTGAGCCATAGGACAACTTTACTGGGCTAAAAGCTCAACGTAGGAGCCACGTATGTATACCTCCTAAATATTAACAAAAAGAACTTAACAACAAACCACTTGATAACAGTTTCTTGCTCAAACTCTGCTTATTTTGAGGTCCAAAAAGCATCCAGACAGCCCTTCCACCCCAGCTAACTTAAGATGCATCCTCTGCAGACATAGGAATTCAACTGGATGCATATAGCTTGTATAAATTCCATAGAAAAAGACTGCAGATAGAACAAGATCCTCTGGAGCAGCCACACATGTCAAAGTATTCCTGAGTCCATGTGGTGATATACAGAAGTGTGGCGGTTTTTAATGCATTGCCATCTGAGGGCTTGAATGTCACGACATTCAGTTGTGTTTTTTTGGGCTTTTTATGTACAGAGATTTTTCTGGACTCAGTTTATTCATATAGCGCTTTCTACAACAGGTGTTGTCACAAAGTAGCTTTACAGAAAAACCCGGGTCTGAGCCCCCATGAGCGTTGCCAATGGTGACGATGGCAAGGAAAAACTCCCTAGGAGCAAGATGAAGAAACCTTGACAGGAACCAAGACTCAAACAGGGAACCCATCCTCCTCTCGTCAACACCAGACAGCAAAACAATAACACAAGAGCAACAGGAACAGAGAATAAGGTTATAACATTAGTATAAAATAATAAGATATAAAAAAGGGGAAAAGCAGGTGAAGCAATGGCTGTGATTAAACAGTTCGAGTCTGTGCAGAAGTATCATCACGAAGGTCAGTGGCCTGCAGGTGACCCTCAATCTTTTGATATTATGCACCGTAGAGAATAAAATGCTTAGAAACCTTGCAAATCCCAACTGAGGCACTTCAACAGTTGGACTATTTGCTCAGAAAGGCAGGCCTTTCCTGGATGCTCCTTTTACACCCAAGCATGATTATGTCACTTCCTTTAAAATGTTTTCTGGAGGCTCCCGAGTGGCGCAACCTTCTAAACGTTGGCCCTGTCATCAGGAGACTGCGAGTTTGATCCCTGGTGATGCTACAGCCATCCGTAGCCAGGAGTCCAAGAGAGCACAACTGGCCTTGCTCTCTGGCGGGCAGGACGCATGCAGGAGCGCATGCGTCTGTTAGCTGATGTAACAGATCTGGCAGTGGGCGCTTTCCTCCAAGTGCGTTCAGCTGTCCAATGACGTTGCGCGAGCGGCACTTCGAAAAGATGCGGCGGCGCTTTACAAGTCAAAAAATAATAATAAAAAAATGTTTTCTGAACATTTAACAATATTCCTAGTCTTAAACTGCCCCTGTCCCAGCATTTTTGGAACATGTTGCAGGTATTAATTTCAGAATAAACATTTGCAGAAGCCACCATGTCCAATGCCAAGTATGGGCAAGAGGATGTATAAAGCCCCCAGCATTGGGCTGTGGAGCAATAGAACCGCACTCTTAAGTAATCAAGCACCATCCAATACCTTTGGCATGAGTTAGAGTGGTGTTTGTGATCCAGAACTAATCATCCAACACCTATGGGGAAGAATGCAATCAAATCCTTACAGTAAGGCCCAATCCCATTTCTTATTTTTACTCCTACCCCTTGTTTCCGAGTGTCACCTTGCCCCTTGGAACTGACTTACAACGGATAGTGGTTGAAATGTTCCCTACGAAATGAGACCCTCAAATATAAAGAACACTACTTCATTAACAGCTATTAGTGCTGCTCTGTATTTTTTACACTTGTTCTGAAGAAAAGGACCATAATACACTGAAACGACATTAAACTAAGATAATTCAATGGTTGTCGTGATTTTTAAACAAAGAAAACTCACATTTGTGGGTTTCTTTGGTCTCCTGTTCAGCCATCTTGCTGGGTTTTTTCTGAAAAACCTCTGTTTGGAGGGCCGTGTAGCCCTATCACTTCGCCCTACCCCTGTATCTCAATAAAAATCAGGACACCATACCCCTAGGTGTGAATGTGCTAAACAGAGGGCTAAGGGCTTAGTGATAGGGGCAAGGGGTGAAATGGGATTGGGCCTAAATGTTCCAAAATCTAGTGTAAAGCCTTCCCAGACTAGTAGAGGCTGCAGCAAAGGGGGAAAACTCCCTATTAATATCCTTGATTTCAGAAGAAACACTAGAGGAGCAGGACACAACTTTTGGACAAATCTTGTAGCCACTATGACAGCGACTGTATAACTAAGACATAAAGTCTACTGTGTGTGCACATCTGACCTATGTACTGAGCCAGGCTGAGCTCATAAATGAGCTCCAGCAGGTGTGCAGCGTGGTTCCCCACCAGCATCTTCTTCAGCTCCACCCAGATCCTCTCTCCAGAGATCCCTGCCAAGCCACGGGCATTCTCCTGGATCGCCTCCAGCGTGTCTGGGTCATGCTGACCAGGCTCAGACGCAACACGCCCATAGAATCTGCAATGTGGTTGACATTTGAGTGTTTGGTAAAGCAATTCTGAGAGGTAGGACTTATTTATTGTGTATGTACACAACTAAGGCTTCACAAACTATATGGTTTGATAATATTTTTCAGCAATATGCATATGGGCACTGCAGCAAGTCACAGAGTGCTTTAAGCAGAATGACCAATGTCATTTGCAAATATAACCTGCTTCAACTGTGTTTTTGTCTTATGACAAGGAATGCGCCAATATGGGAACTGAGGGCCATATCCAACATTTTTCATGTACATATCTGCTGATTCTGTTGAGTAAACATTTATAAAATTAAGAAACTGAAACCACATCTACTTGTATTAGCATACATATATATACCTATATATATCCAATTTATTTCTGTTAGGTTACAAATGCAGTGAAATTCATAAAACACAGATACTTTAGTGAAGTAGCTCAGTGTTCCCTAAATGTTCTGCTGTTCTGGAGTACAATGAACACATTATCAGACATTGTTTGAAATATCAGTCAAATCTAAACATCTGGCCAATGCCGATACTCTTTCTTTTAAAACACTTATCTGTCAATATCCATATGATTCCATTATAATTGTGTATTCCTACCATGTGGCTCTACATACAGCTATAAAGTAAAACACATTACTGGCACAGCACCGTTACTAGTGAGAGAACAGCTGTTGAAGTCATGACTGATCTAATCTGACACAAATGCCATCTATAAGCAACGCACTGACAATCATGTAAAAGAGAAAGTTGTTAACTGCATGATACACAAAGCCACCAAAAATAAACTTAATTTAAAAAAGTGGTTTTATAACAATTCATTCTTCTGTGACAGGGAAACACAAACACACCTGAAATATCTTAGAATGCGTAGGTAATCTTCCTGGATCCTAAGAGCAGCACTTCCAACAAAACGAACCTTTCTGTTCTGGAGATCCTCATAACCTTGGAAATAATCATACAGGGTCCCATCCAACCCTACAAGGACACAACAACACTCTGTCAAACACAGACTATCATTTTCATTTTGCTTATGAAATCTACAGTTCGAGACCAGATTACCGAGGAACATGGAGTTAATAGTGAGGTCTCTGCGTTCGGCATCTTTCTGCCAGTCTGTGGTGAACTCCACTTCGGCGTGCCGTCCATCTGTTTGTACGTCCACACGCAGGGTGGTCACCTCAAAGTTCTCATTATGCAGCTGCACAAGGAATAAATCAATGGTGCGACATGACAAGTCAGAGATGTTATTAATAACTAGCACAATAACATGCCTTGAAAAATCTAGGCAACACTTTATTTGGATGGGCCACTGTAGATGCTTTGTAAATGCTCAGTCTGTCTTTAAGTAACATTCAACTAAATTTCCACTAAATACAAATCATCTTCAAGTCCAGTGTGAAAGAGTTTATTAAATCTATCCCTAACCCTAAACCTGACTCTAACCCTAACCTGAAAGCAAAAACCTACACCTACTCCTAACCCTAAACCTAACCATAATGTTGTTGATAATCAACTGATTATCACCAGGGGACCATCCACATAAAGTGTGTCCAAAATCTAAAATTGAAATCCAAGACATCTCTAACCCGGGCAGTGATGGTCCCATGTTTCTCTCCTTTGTTGTTGATCATTCGGATCCCTGCAGCCTGGAACATGCGCTTCATTTCTTCAGGTGTTGCTGTCGTCGCAAAATCCACATCTTCGGGTCGCTGCCCTGACAACAGGTCCCGCACCGCCCCTCCTGCAATCCTCAGCTCAAACCGGTGCTTCTCAAAAATGTCTGAAAAAGTAACATTATAAGTGGTGGCATTCTTAATGTCAGAAAATCACTGTTAGGTCTATTTCACCAAGTACGTTACATATGCAAGGAATTTGTCTTGTTAAGTGCACACAAGTAAAACAAAAGAAACAAACCAGGTAAGTATGCAAAACTATTAATAATTATTCAAGAGAAAATAAGACATAATGAATAAGGGAAAATAAATAAAACATAAAAAACAGCCAATTTATAAAACAGCCAAAAGGAGGTGAAAATGAAAATATTTACATGTACACCAATCAGGCACAATATTATGAGCACCTCCTTGTTTCTACGCTCGTTGTCCATTTTATCAGCTCCACTTACTATATAGGTGCACTTTGTAGTTCTACAGTTACAGACTGTAGCCCATCTGTTTCTCTGCATACTTTGTTAGCCCCCTTTTACCCTGTTCTTCAGTGGTCAGGACCCCCATGGACCCTCACAGAGCAGGTACTATTTGGGTGGTGGATCACTCTCAGCACTGCAGTAACACTGACTGCAAAAAACTCCAGCAGCACTGCTGTGTCTGATCCACTCGTACCAGCACAACACACACTAACACACCACCACCACGTCAGTGTTACTGCAGTGCTGAGAATGATCCACCACCCAAATAGTACCTGCTCTGTGAGGGTCCATGGGGGTCCTGACCACTGAAGAAGGGTAAAAGGGGGCTAACAAAGTATGCAGAGAAACAGATGGACTACAGTCTGTAACTGTAGAACTACAAAGTGCACCTATATAGTAAGTGGAGCTGATAAAATGGACAATGAGCGTAGAAACTAATCATAATGTTATGCCTGATTGGTGTAGGTAATATGTAATATTGTATATGTATTGCTGCTGTGATAACAAAACCTTTTATCTCCATTTTTGTCACAAATGCCTGTTGCCCTTTACATTGCGTGTAAATTTCATGCTGAAAGGACCGAAAAATGTCCCAAAATGACTTGGAAAAACATCTGCTTACACTGACTTACATTAAAAGTAAACTATGTTTTTTCCGTCTCTTGCAAAATTATTATTTTGAAGACACAAGGTTTTGTTCTGACAGCAAGCAGTGATATGTATATGTAATATATGTAATACACATAATTTCTCTTCAATTCTCTGCACTACTTCTGTGTTTTAGTACTTTTTTAAAAGCAGTTAATTAATTCTCTTCAATGACAATGAGTTTAGATACATGGTAGGCGTACCTAATAAAGTGCTCAGTGACTGTACATTCCTAAAGACAAGCTGGATGAACTGCTGTACTGTAGGTAGTCTCACCTGCGAGGCTGTTCAATCCATCGGTGAACAGTGACTCAAACTCCTTGGTTTTCAACTGCATAGTGAATAAATGTCTGTGACTCCAAGTGAGATGAATTCTGCTGAGTAGTTTGGGGCTCAGAAATATTCTCCCCCACATCTGACAGAAGACAGACAAGTTAGCTGGTTACGGCAATTTTCTGTCACTGTCTTACCAAACCATGCGCTAAAATAACAGGTTACAGGTAAATCACTTGGCTTGTATCACTCATATCTGTCACACGATATAAAGAAACTCCATTGATTTTTCAAAATTTCTGCATAATTAAATGGTCAACAAAGTCATTCAGGGTGGTTTGGTGTGAAATTCTCCGTTCTAGAGAAACTTACTGAGTCAGAACTGCTCACAGTGGTGGAGACAGGAACCAGGCGTCCACTTCTAAAAGCTCCTTCACAGAAAGTTTTTACATAAAAAAAGGTTATGAATACACTGCTGACATTGTTTTACTGTAGTTGTGTGACAAAGGTTTGGTCTAGAATGTACTTTAAACAATGTATTGTAATCAGTACATGGTGGAGGAATAAAAAGTTCCCAAATAATGTTTATAAATAAAGTTTAGTTTTTAAGATTTACAACATTTTTTTTCCATCTTAAACAATACATATATAAACTCAATAGACACGTGTAGGTTCACTGGTGGTTCTGGATAGTAAATAAAATGGCTATGTTTGTTTTGTAGACATCCCCTGGTTCCGATCACCCTCGTTTTAAAGCACATCTGTGTTGGTAAGTTTCTCTACAAATGAATTGTTTCACACCAAACCACACTGAATGACGCTGTTTATATCTAAACCACTGCCTAATGGAGAAATTTTGAAAAATCGGTGGATTTCCCCTTTTCCCGTATCTGTAATGTTAGCCTGCTTATTTAGCATCCAGTAGGAAGGCAGCAGTAACGTCAGCTAACAGCTACTTAGCTTTACTGGCTGCTGGCTCGACAGCACTGCCTGCCGTTTACAGCGAACAGGGAACAAAACAAGGTAAAAGAAAAAGCCTTTCAAACCCAGAGACACCTGTAAAGATGACGGACTCCGCTGCTTCACTGAGCTGGGACGGCCGACATGCTGTCAGGCGGCCATGACAACTGAGAGGAAGCGCGTTCCTGCACTACGTCCTCAGACACGGGAGCGCGCCCAGCTCAACCGACCAATTGTGTCTCTCAATGTCAGCAAAAGGGCGGGGACTTTGAAGAAAGCGCCTTCTCATTGGCTGATTTCAGCTATTTCCGCCCACACGTCTATTATTGATATTCAAGTTTGGAACCGCGGCATTTATGAGTTTAAAAAAGGGAGAAACTGAAGGAAAACAAGCCAAATTTGAACGCATTCCTGCTGCTTTGATGTTTTTGTGTGATTTAATTTATATGCATATATATTTTATCATCCTTTTATCTTTTAACCCTCTGTGAAGCATTTGAGCTGTGTTGTAGGCACGAATTAATGCAATTATTATAAACAAATAAAGTGTATTATTATTATTATTATTATTATTATTATTATTATTATTACTATACCAGTACCCTGGTATCTTTTACATTAATTATAAACATTTTGTTTGAATTAGAGATGATTTGTCATTCACTTCTCCAATTATGCGTGAATCTATTCTGTGTTTACAGTTTAACAGAAAAATATTTTTTCTTTTTTTGTGTTTTCTTTCTTTTAAATGTTTATATTACATTGCCACATTCGTGCTGCTTTGATGCTCTTGCGTAATTTGATTAAATATATTTTTATTTATTTTATTTAGTTATATGATACCTTGTTAATTCATTTGATTAGTTTAGTTTAAATCAGTGATTTGTCATTCGTTTTTCCAATTGTTTGTAAATCCCTTCTGAATTGTTTACAGTTTTTTTTTCTTTTTGTGGTGCCGCCAGAGAGTGTAGAGAGGAGAACTGCCACTCAGTAAAGTATTCCAGTCAAACGCTAGAGGGCGCAAAATGAATGGGTTACTGTGAAGCACATGTACAAAATCATAGTTTGTAAACACTTCAACATTTTTATTTATAAGAATGCATTAATTTCCTGAACACAGAACAGCATAAAACATTTTAACACCACTGTTTTATTTTCGAACTTGAGTTACAGGACTTTATAACTTCACCTCATGTATGTTCATGATGTCAGTGAGCGCAAACCATTTCACTCAGCCAATCAGCACTCAGTAGCAGTAAAGCCAACCAATCAGCCCTCAATAGCAGTAATGCTAACAATCAGTACTCAATAGCAGTAATGCTAACCAATCAGCACTCAGTAGCAGCAATGCTAACCAATCAGCACTCAGTAGCAGTAATGCTAACCAATCAGCACTCAGTAGCAGTAATGTAACCAATCAGCACTCAGTAGCAATAATGCTAACCAATCAGCACTCAGTAGCAGTAATGCTAACCAATCAGCACTCAGTAGAATATGCTAACCAATCAGCACTCAGTAGCAATAATGCTAACCAATCAGCACTCAGTAGCAACAATGCTAACCAATCAGCACTCAGTAGCAGTAATGCTAACCAATCAGCACTCAGTAGCAATAATGCTAACCAATCAGCACTCAGTAGCAGTAATGTTAGCGAATGTTTATAGTGAAATCCATCCTTCGACTTTCTAAAATAAAAGTCCCCTGGACAGGAGGTTAGAAAATACTTAAACTTTTCGTTTTTTAGCCATTTAGCTCCATTCAATATTACTCACTGAGGACTCGCTCACTTGCGCCCTCTGGCGTTTTGGTGGCCAGGCGCTCCCCTTCAAACCGCCTCTCGTACCGCCCCCTGTCCGAAATCCTAACGCGAGATTTCCAGGAGAAAGCGCTCCATCGCTGAGCAGCTGTCAGAAGTGGAGAGCAGCCCGATGGCGAAAGTGGAGCTGGCGCCCATGAGATCATGGGACGATTTCTTTCCTGGATCTGAACGTTTCGCCAAACCAGACCTGCGAGATTTACCGAAATGGAACAACAGAGTGGTCAGCAACCTGCTGTACTACCAGACCAATTATCTGGCCGTGGCAGTCGTGGTGTTTTTGATTGTGGGGTGAGTTAAGGGAGAGATTAGATTAGTTAACTCAGACTGCAGTCAGACGAACTGTGAGTTGGCGCTTTAATAGCGGTTTAGTCTGAGAAAGAGCGACTTCTCACCCGCAGCTCTGCTATTTTGAGCACTCATTACATCCGGTTTGTCTTTCTTGTTGTTTACCTTTCTCGATCACAAGACATCCGGCGTTTTAATGCAGTACACTAATAAAATGTGGTTCTTCAGGGGTTCTTTAGTAAAGGCAAAGGTTCTCTTTAGAACTATAAGTTCCATACAGAACCATTTCATGCTTAAATGATTTTTGCATGGTGAAATGGTTCTTCAGATTGATTGGGAATGTGTTGTATATGGTTCTGTGTAGAACCTTATTGGAAATGCTTCTATATAGCACCAAATAGGGACCTGATATTGTTATGATGTCAAGCTTGTAACAGTAGAACAACCCTTTTTGGTGCTAAATAGAACCATTTTCAAAAAGGTTCAGTATAGAACCATGTACAACACATTCCCCATCAATCTGAAGAACCATTTCACCATGCAAAAATCATTTAAGCATGAAATGGTTCTGTATGGAACTTGTAGTTCTAAAGAACCATTGCCTTTGCTAAAGGACCCCTGAAGAACCATCTTTCCTAAGTGCACTGGATGCCTTATGATCGACAAAAGTGAACAACAATCATTAAGCATGAAATGTTTCTATATGGAGTTCTAAATAGAACCTTTCCCTTTACTAAAGAACCCTTGAAGAACCATGTTTTTCAAGTGTGAACTCACAGTACGATCATTTCAAAGTTTTTTTGGTACAAAAATAGAGTTGTTGGAAATACCATGACAACAACGTCCATGTTTTAGTGTTGCGTCCAGGTTGCGGCATCATGTCTCATCTCTCATATGAACTTTGGCTCGTCACTATCTCAGCTCGTACACATGACTGAGACAAACAAACAAGTGTTGATTTGAAAGTGCCCCCCAATACTACCCTGCTGACCACCCTGTCTGAAGTATTAGGCTGGTTGTTGTATTGTCATAACATTTCTTCCCTTTTTGGAAGCATTAGATAATTATAGGGTGTAAAAATAGCGGCTGCTTTAACCCTGATGACATGTCTACTTTGAGCCGCTTGGCCTGCAGGCTGCTGGCCAGTCTAATGCCTGATCCTGTGGGATAGAGTGGGCTGTGCTGCAGTCCAGCTGCTGACCAACATTGTACACGATTTGCAAGCCAATACTGTCTTCAGTGCACTGCATTGATGCCCTGAAGATGAGTAAAACGAGTTTATGAAGTTATTTGAATCTGCATTTCTGATTTATCAGTGATTATATCTTCATCCAATTTCATAACAACCGGTTTTGACCTTGCTTTACTTTATCACCTTCCAAATTTAAAGGCTCATTACATCTTAAGGCTTATTATTCAGTAACTACATGTAAACAGCACTGGTGGGTCCTGGCCACAGATCTTTGGGCTAAACAGACGGACAGTGCTAATTTGTACAGTGAGACAATTGGCATAATCAAAGCTGCATCGAGTTTGTTCTCCTCTACTTGGGCTTCTGTCTTTAACCCTCTTATTATCTTTGAGGTCACACTGGCCCCATTCAGTGTTTAATGTCTTTTGACATCATTTGCTTCATATTTAATGCCTTTTCCTAATTTAACGGGGACAGCCGGGTAAATATAAAATTAACCTGATATGTTTTCAGTGTTCTGTACACATTGTATATGCGTTAGTGTTGTCTGGGGTCAGTTTGACCCCAGACTGTTTTAGCTTTATAAAACATACGAAATATTAACATGTTTGCTGGGTTGTTTTGGATGATATTAAAGTCAATATAACATGCAATTTTATACTTTTCAAAAACTTCCCTCTGCTTTAGGGCCCTAACTTAACATAGTCACGCCCATAGTAGTTCAAGAACCACTGATATTTCCCAGATGTTCAAATTGTTGGGGTCAAATTGACCCCCAAGGATAACAGATGATAGCAAATTTGAAGATGACTTAATTAAAACAGAATGACACCAGCTTTTCAAACTTTCTGCATAATTAAATAGTTAATATGTGACCAACTCATTACGAGTGGTGTATTGTTTATTGTTACTAAGTCAGATTTGTTCACAGTGGTGGTGAAGGGAACCAGGCGCCTGAAGAGCTGCACTGTTTGATGCCTGAGACATTGTTTTACAGTAGATTTGTGATAAGAGTTTGACCTAAAACATATTTTTTAAACTCCAGTCATGGTGGGGATGTACATGCAGGATGTTGTAGGTTAAAGCAGCACCAAAGAAAACATATTTTTTCAGACTGTCCTCTGTCAACATTACATATCATTGCTGTCCAAAATAGCAAAAACAGGTACAGTGGTGCTTAAATGTTTTTGAATCCTGTAGAATTTTCTATATTTCTGCACAAATTTGACCTAAAACTTCATCAGATTTTTACACAAGTTCTAAAACTAGATAAAGAGAACCAAATTAAACAAATGAGAAAAAAATATTAGATTTGGTGATTTATTTATTGAGGAAAATGATTTTTTGATTCTTTTAAAATAAATAAATAAATAAGTAAATAAATGATTTATTGAGGAAGCACCACTGTATCTCAGTTTTTGTCAATTATTCTACATGTTTTGAGCACAGAAACTGATGAATGCACGAATAGAAATGCTCCGAAATGATGAATAAAAACCTTTTTACATTAAAAATTAAGGAAGTTTTGCTCTCTCCTGTAAAGATACTATTTTGCAGATGGGACAGGTTTTTCTTTGAACAGTAACGATATGAAAACAAGTGACAATGAGTCGAAAAGTTTCTCTAAAATGGTGCATTTTACTTTAGACAATTCTGAATTTGTTTACATCTCAACCATTGAATTATGCAGATATTTCGAAACCTCAGTGGAATTCCCCTTTAGGGCCAAAGATGTGTTACTACACAGTATCCTCTAGATGGAGCTGTTCTCAAATCTACTGTCAATATCCTCTCTGCCTCTGTCGTCAGGTTCATGAACCCCCTTGGCATGTTCACTGGCGCAGCAGTGGTGGTATCGGTGTTCCTCGGTTCTGTGTGGGTGGGGGACAACAAAGCAGTGATCAAGAACTTTAAGAAGGAGAACCCTACACTGTTTGTCTTTTTAGTGATGCTAATCAGCTACCTCCTCATGTCGCTCTTCGGAGGAGTCATGGTCTTCTTGATGGGGATCAAGCTTCCACTGCTCTGTGAGTTCAGCCTCTTCTCATTTTCTGTCTGTCAAATGTTTCGTGGTTCACCTGGTAGTGAAAGAAGAGCCGAGTAATGCTGTTCGCTCACTACGGCCTATTGTTCATTGTTGCCAATAAACAATGGTCATGTGTTACATTAGGTTAAACTATTCTTAAACTATTCTTATGCATGAGTGGAAAGTCCGTATCTTCTTAAATATCTTTTGCCTTTAAGCCCAGTTCACACTCCTTCTACAAGATGAGGTTGGAGTTCAGCTCATTTTAGGCCCTTGTTTTACAAACCCAATTACCAAAAAGTTGGGAAAGTAGATTACATTTTTGAGCGCAAAGATGTTCAATTTTTCAAATAATTAACTTTACTTATATATAATTACTTTTACTGATGTGTGTGTGTGTGTGTGTGTGTATATATATATATATATATATATATATATATATATATATACCTTTACTGATATATACACACACATATAGTCTCAAAGATGTTTCAAAGATGTTGGGACAGGGGCAACACCAGTTGTAGTTGTAAAAGTAGAATCTTTTCCCATTCTTGCTTAATAAACCACTTTAGTTGCTCAACAGTCCATGGCCTCCACTGTCATGGACTGAACTTTGTAATGCACCACACGTTTTCAATGGGTGACAGATCTGGACTGCAGGCAAGCCAGTCTAGCACCTGCAGTCTCTTACTGCAAAGACACCCTGTTGTAACACGTGCAGAATATGGCTTGGCATTGTCTTGCTGAAACAAGCAGGGATGTCCTGAAAAAGACGTCGTCTAGATGTGTTTGTACCCCTCAGCATTAATGGTGCCTTCACAGATGTGCAAGTTACCCACTAACAAACTGGCGTACCATGACAGATGCTGACTTTTGAACTGTGCATTGGTAACAGCCGGGATGGTCCTTTTCCTCTTTGACCCAGAGAACACAACGTCTATTATTTTCGAAAAGCAGTCTGAAAGGTGAACACATCAGACCACAGCAAACATTTCCACTTTCCATCAGTCCAAGATGAGCTTTAGCCCAGAGAAGTCGGCGGCGTTTTTGGATGTTGATAAATGGTTTCTGCTGTGCGTAGTAGAGTCTTAACCTGTGTTTGTAGATGCAGCAGCAAACTTTGTTCACTGACAAGGGTTTTCCGAAGTATTCCTGAGCCCGTGTGGTTATATTCATTACAGAACCTTGTCATTTTCAATGAAGTGCTGTCTGAGGGATCACAGGCATTCAGTACTGGTTTTCAGTCTTGCCCTTTATGCACAGTGATTTCTCTGCTTATGATGATATTCTGCACCAAGAGACAAAACCTAAAATCCTTGCAAGCGCTCGCTGAGGAACATTGTTCTTAAACTGTTGATGCATCTTTTGGCAAAGTGGTGAGCTCATAAAGTACTCTGCCTTCCCTGGATGCTCCTTTTATATCCAAACATCATCTGTTCAAGGAGTTTTAGAACATTTCATAGTGTTCCCAGTCTTAAATTGTCCCTGTCCCAACTTTTTTTGGAACATGTTGCTGAGGTCAGGCACTAATGTTGGATGATCAGTTCTGGATCACTTGAGCTCATCCCAAAGTTGTTGGACGGAGCTCCATCACTCCAGAGAACACAGAACTGCTCCACAACCCAATGCTGGGGGGCTTTATACCCCTCTAAACCACGCTTGGCATTGGGCATAGTGACCTTAGGCTTATGTGTGGCTGCTTAAATATTGTGTATGAGTGCACCTTGAAGCAGTCGAATTCACTGATTAAAGTGTTTTTAAGTTGACCATCAAATTTAGCACTAAGATAGTTTTATAATTTCGTTTAAAGGGAAACCTCATCAATAGAAATCTTACATTAGAGGTTTTTCCATGTTTTAGAATCTCACATGAAACCATATATATGATCATTCTTTTAAACTACCATTTCCAGTGTTCAGCAGCTCCATTGTCTTGCCTGTTGAGTGTGAACTGGGCTTCATGTTCATAAAGACCTGCTTTCTAAGCTTATAGCCGTTCAATGTCTATTCATAATGGTGAAAATGAAAACGCATGCAGAGCGATCCTGTCTTTTTCATTCCAGTGATATTCGCTCACGCCTCCCTGCGTCTCCGCAACATGAAGAACAAACTGGAGAATAAGATGGAGAGTGCAGGACTGAAGAAAACACCCATGGGGATTATACTGGAGGCTCTGGGCCAGCAAGAAGAGAACCTAAGCAAGATTCAGGAGTTCCTGGAGAACAAACTCAAGGAGTGATATGTAGCTATGGATGACTGTGTGTTTTTTATTTTATTCTGATCCCGGTATGAATGATGTATCTCCGTTTTCAGCCTATGCAATAAAAATCCAGCTGGATCTTCCAAAGACGTGTGGGGAAAAAAACTAAAGACAATGAAAAGTTACACAGTGTATGACAGGAACATTATGAAATGTTACAAAGCTCAGTTTTTTTCTGGCAAATGCTGAATGGTCCTGTTAGTACCATAAACTGATGGAACGTCTGTGGGATTTAGGAACCAAATGTTCTCAGAAATGATGAGGAACGTCTCAGAAATGGTTTCTCCTAAGTTTAATGTGACTTATTAGAACACTTTTCTTGCCCAGTAGGTTTTTATATCATTTGTTTGGTGCTAGGTAGAGACCACTGAATGCACTCTTCCGTGATAAACACATCCGCTTTGAGTTCTATAACTTCTAGGATAAATTGTAAAACCTCTAAAAGAAATGTTACGCCTTGGCGTGACCCTGTATTGAGTTATACAATACAGTAATCACTGGGCTCACATGAGTTAAAACTTGCTAGTTAGCTCATAGCTATGATTTGGCTCCTATGTGAAATTATGTTTAATTAAATGTCAAAAATTTTGATGTAAAATTTTGAAATAATGAAGCAGTGTTCTATAATCCTGTGCCAAATTGTTGTACTTGAAGAGAAATGAAATATTTGTTCACGAAATGATGAAGTTTGCAAATAAAAAAATCTGTGAATTACTGTGAGAAGAGGAATTCCACCAATTATTGAAGTGTTAATATGTAAACAATGAATGCATTCACATGCACTTAATAATCCGATAGCTGCAGAAAATCAGATAATGGGAAACTTCAGGTCTACATGAACCTGTAAACTTCAGGTATACAGTCAGACAGTAATCAGATTTCTACTTTGCAACCAGCCAATAAACTCACAGAAGAAGACGTGACGTAAACATAACATAAAACTCAAACTTCATGCCGTGTTTTTTTTAAAACATCGCCCAACTTTACATGAAAATATGAACATGCATCATCTGGAAGATGAAGAATATTTAACTCCTTTATTTCGTGTTTGGTTTCAGTACCTCTCCAAAAGTGTTCATCCACCGTCTGATCTCACGCATGCACAGATTGAGTAAGAGTTTACATGCATTGAGAAATCTGATTACTGAGCTAAAATCCCAGCTCTTTTATCAGACTTCTTAATCTGATTTGATGTTTACATGACCATTTGAATAATCGGATAACTGCAGCGGATTACTGAGTGCATGTAAACGCACTCAGTGTAATTCAGAGTGGTTTGATATGAAATAGTTTGACTTTAGAGAAACGTACAGACTCTGATTCCTTTACAGGGGTGGTGATAGGAACCAGGGGTCACCATGACTGTAACACATACATACACATTTTATTTACCATCCAAAACCACCAGTGAACCTACACAGATATTCTGAGTTTTTCTATCCAGTGTCAGTAATGGTGAAATAGTGGCAAATTTTCTCTTGTGGTACTATTTTGTCTCTCGGTGTCCTGCACATACCTCTCCACCAGAATGAATTATTAAAAATACAGTGCATTCAGAAGTCAGAGACCACCTTGCATTTATTTAATTTCTAGTCAAAATGGCCATTCAGTAAAATCTGCAAGGATATTTTTCCAGACAAAGTTCAAAAGTTCAGTCTTAGAAGTTGATTGATCATTTTCTGAAGTAATCAAACACATTCAGTGATGTTGAGGTCTGGACTCTGGGGTGGTCAGTTCATCGTTCAGCTTCTTTGTTTGATGTGTCCGTCTCCTTTTCTCAGTGAGGTTCTTCTTAACAGCCACACATCCTTTCAGACCCATAGCGCTGAGTCGTCTTCTTACAGTGGAAGGATGGACAGAAACACCTGTGGATGTTTTCAGATCTGAAGCAGCTTGATTTTCTCCTCTCTCTCAGAGATGAAAGCTTTAAGTGCTGTTTATCTGATGGGGGCAGTTTTGGGGTCTACCAGGTCTTCCGGGAGTCTCATTTTCTCTAGAGCTTAATCATTTTCCAGTTTTGGTAAACTCCTGATTGTTTTTCCTTTGACTTTCTCATTCCTCATGCAGATGTATCTTATATCTAATCTCCTCAGAAATATTGTGTAAAAAAAGAATAACTTGTACTTAATGGCTGTTTTCATGGGGCATTGAATAAATAAAGGGTGGACTCTCACTTTTGCTAAGTTTTGTACGTTTAAGGCCTCCTCAAAACAATTGTAAATCAATGTCCCAGACATCATCCAGTGTATTCATCACTATTTTGTGTAATAACTTTATGTGTAATAACTTTTTTAGAGGCACGGACGTCTGGTTCCTATCACCACTACTCCGTTCTGATTCTGTAAGTTTATCTAGAACTGAGTGTTTTTATCACATCTAATTTTTCACAAGAAAAGCAGAACTCACATGGGCTCCTTCCAGAGTCGACCTCTTTGTGTCTAACCCCATGACAGCATCATGAGTGTGATTGATAAGGTCCCTGCCCTCACTCACACTCTCTGACTCACCCTCCTCCTCTCAGGCATGGGTCAATAGCTGCAGTAGATCACGCAGTGCTGTAAGTGTTCCGCTGAGTTTGAGCAGACTCATCTGCAGTTATTCATGTGGTTCTCTTCTGAACTGCTGTGTCAGCAGCTCCACGCTTTCATATGTTTCCAGTCTGATGTGCGCAATTCTGTGTGCTGTATCAAAAGTTCAACATTTTCTCAATACTTCAATGTGGTAAACAACAACGCACAGTACTCTCAGTTCTTTATTTAAAAAGGCTAATCCTAATTTGAGGCATTCTGCCTGCAAAAACGTGCAAAACATCCATTAAGATCATGTTTTTCATTTGTCAGTGTCTGAAAGAGACGTACACAAAGCCTCAAACACTAAGTATATCAAATCTACATTAGGCTGTGAGACTTCATTATGGGTTTGAAAGGATGTGTAGCTGTCAAGAAGTTGCTTCTCAGAAGAACCATCATTCGAGGATGGTGGAGAATCAGTCCATGTTTGTGGATGTATAACAACATCTGGAGTTGGTGATTTGTTTTTGATTGAAAGCAGCCTGAATGCAGATTCAAGTACAAACAAATTTTAGTACGTCATGTAACAGCCTGGAAAATGTTTAATCAGGAAGAAATTCATTCTACAGCAAGAAAATAACCTCAAGCACAAGGCTGAGAAGATCAAGACACACGTATCAAAGAAAGAAGCTGCTGGTGTTCACAGAACAATGGACTGACCAAGCCAGAGTCCAGACCTCAACATCGCTGAATGTGATGCTACCAACTTCTAAGACTGAACTTCGGAGGTGTGTCTGCAGATTTCTTTGAGAAACTGAAAGTGAGGGGCAAGTAGAATGTTTGTAGTGGGCTGTGGGCCAAAAAGACCAAACAAGTAAGCTCGCTCTTCGTCAGTTTCTTAGCTTTAATTTTTGCACATTACCAATATACAAGGTGCAAAGGAGTGTCTCAAAATCAAAATTCTGGGGGTCCCTGAAAATAAACTTTTTATGATATTATGCCGTCCATTAAGGAAAAACCGATGCTCAAATACAGATTTAGTGAAAGCTCATTGTTTAGCTCCTTCACCCACATCGACTTCTGTCTCTGATCGTCTTATCTAACTTGAGCTGCAGCACTGCTCTGCCTCAGGGTGGCGCTGTAGCAAACTGGTTCTCCCAGTTAGTCCTTTATAGTCTAGCACCTGTACTTTGCACCTGAATACCTATGAAAAGCTTTACAATATGCTGCAGCATAAATGTGAAAATCTGAAAACTTGCCCAAATTCCCAAGAGTTTGGAGGAAAGAATGAACTGTTACTCATCCCCAAACTGAAGACAGAAGAGGAGATGTGTAAGATCTCAGTTAATGTGAGGAAGAGCGCATTACCAAACTAGAAAAGAGCATTTCCAAAAGAAGAACTGATAAATCAAACATTTTGCTGCCACTGAAGTGTCAGCGCTGTTACAGTGGCACTTCAGTGGCCGCAAAATGTGTGGTGGGTTAGTTAGCAGCCAGCCAATGCTGGAATAGCCAGCCAACATGGGATCCCCAAATACCAGGGGGTATTTTGCACGCTGCCAGTATATATGTAGACACTGTATTCTTTAAGAACTCCAGTGGTTAATTCAGCACACTCCCTTGCTATTAAATTCAAAGTAAAGAACGTTTTCCTTCTGAATCTGCTCTCATCTGTGTACCACCACCTGTTATGCTGTATTAGCTTGTACCTGCTTGCTACAGCTAGCCATTACATCTGCATTGCAGTCAATGACAACTGTATAGTTTTACACTTTTAATAATACACTTGTTTTATTACTAAAACTACTTTAAAATAACCTTTGGAGAAAATGTAGAAGCTAAAAACTAAAAAGTTTTTTAAAATTGCATGCTCTCTCATTGAGATCTAGAGGGAAGTTTAGCAGGCTTTCTAGCAGGGCCAATCAAACATCCTTGTGGGCCAACTTGGCCCTCCAGGCCCCACATTAGACACATTGGGTCTTAATTTTGATACTGCACTTGGAATTGCTGTCAAAGTCAAAGTTCTGGTATCTTGACAGCCCTAGTGTGTTGTGGCCACTTCTTTTCAAACAGAATACTTGTATGTGATAGATATGGTAAGATATACAGTTGTTAATAAGAAAGATCATTTTACAGCACTGTTAGAATCAGATGCAGAAGACATCACTCTAGGCTTTCTGCAAGTTCTAGGTTCTAGATATGTCACTGACTGTAATTATGAGCTGTAGTCTAAGCAGGTTTCAGTTAGTTGTTAGGAATGGAAAACAGTGGTGGCGGCTCTATGCCAGGATTCTTTTCCTTACATTGGTGGCCAGTTAAATTCCGCATTGAGTACAAAATTCTTCTGCTGACCTATAAAGCTTTGAATGCTCCTCAGTACCTCAGTGACCTTATTTCCTATTATCAACCGACACGCCCACTTAGATCACAAGGTGCTGCTCATTATTAGTACCCAGAATAAATAAAGTTACGTCAGGGGGAGGAGCCTTTTCATACAAAGCCCCCCAGCTTTGGAATAGCCTACCAGTCTGTGTTCGGGACTCAGACACAGCCTCCATCTTTAAGTCTAGGCTAAAAACTTACCTGTTTAGTCGAGCTTTTGGTTAATTAGTTTTCCTAACTATGTCCCCCTTATCCCCCCCCCCCCCCCTATCCCCCCTCTTTCCCCCTCCCCCTCTTTCCCCCTCCCCCTCTTTTTCCCTGAGCTGAGCGGCTGCCTGTCCTAAGAGGGTCTGACCTGAGATGTGGCCGGCGCACTGCACAGTGGTGTTAAACTGTATCCACTTATACTGTTTTGTGTCTGTGCTGTTATCCGGTGTCGACCAGAGGAGGATGGGTTCCCCTATTTGAGTCTGGTTCCTCTCAAGGTTTCTTCCTCCTGTTGAGGGAGTTTTTCCTTGCCACTGTCACCAAGGCTTGCTCACTGGGGACGTGGACCCGGATTCTTTGTAAAGCTGCTTTGTGACAACATCTGTTGTAAAAGGCGCTGTATAAATAAATTTGACTTGACTTGACTTTACTGAAAGAGTCACTGTAAAGCTGATACAAGGTAAACCCTGTTGTGATGTTAATGTCTTTTACAAGCTTTAAATGTCCATGTTTAATCTGGACTTGCCAAATAATGTTAATGAAAAAAAAGTCAATTGCTTTTAGCTTAGCGCTAACATACTACCAGAATCACATAGGGGCGCTAGCTGAAATTAGCACTCTCCT